CCCTGAAGTTTGCACAGAGGGAATGACTTGACATACTGGGTCATCAGACACAAAAGAAACTTTGGCCAACAGAGAAGCCAGTAGGAGTCATGCAGGAAGGAGATACAGTACACAAAGGAATGAAAGAGAAAGTGTATGGGGCAAGTTAAGAATAGTCTAGACTGACTGGAGAATTGAGCATGTTAGGAAAAATAACAGGTGAATAGCTGGGGAAGCCATTTTTATAGGATATGCTAAAGATTTGAATTTTAACCTAAGAGTATCAGGATCCATTGATGAATTTAAGCAAGGCGGAAAATTATGAGATCCATGTTCACAAGGTGGATGAATTAGAAGACATAAATTCCTCCCAAGTAATCTTTTAGAAACTGGTACAAAAGAAATCAAGAGGAGGAGTTGTGATCAAAACACACTTTGAGGGGGTAGTGCTGTGGCGCAGCAAGTAAAGCTGCTGCCTACAGCTCTGGCATCCCATATGAGTGCCAGTTCAAGTCCCAGCTGCTCCACTTATGATCCAGCTCCCTGCTAATGTGCCTGAGAAAGCAGCAGAGGATGGCCCAAGTGCTTGGGCCCCTGAACCCAAGTGGGAGACCCAGAAGAATCTTCTGACTCCTGGCTTCAGCTTGGCCCCAACCTGACTGTTGTGGCCATTTTGGAAAATCAGTCAATCTCTCTCTCTCCCTCCTACTCCCCCTACCCCGATCTCCCTTTCTTTCCATAATTCTGCCTTTCAAAAAAATAAAATAAATATTTAAAACACACGCACTCACATATGCACACATTTTGGATGCAGCATGCTTGGTGACCCCAACATTATTAAACACGAGGATTTACAGGATAACGAAGTGGAACAGTAGTGGATGGATATGGAAGAGGGATGGGGAAGGCGTGGTGCTTGTCTCCCATAAAATATTTTTTAAAAAATAGAATGAAATCATATCTTTCACAACAAATTGGATGCAACTGTAAGCTATTGTACTTGGTAAAATCAGCCAGTCTCCGAAAGACAAATACCATATGTTTTCCCTGATCTGTGGTAACTAATAGAATACAAAAAAAATGTAATGTATATGAGCAAACTTGACATTTTGAGAATTGATTATTGTTTACAGCCCTTGGGTCTACTGTGGAGGAGCAGTGCTTTTTTCTTCTTACTATTTGTTGAATTCTTTACTTAGTGGAAGGTTAATCTTATGATTGTACAATAAACTGGGGGCTGGCACTGTGGCATAGCAGGTAAAGCTGCACCTACAGCACCAGCATCCTCTATGGGCGCTGGTTCGAATCCTAGCTGCTCCTCTTCTAATCCAGCTCTCTGCTATGGCCTGGGAAGGCAGTAGAAGATGGCCCAAGTGCTTGGGCCCCTGCATCCATGTGAGAGACCCGGAAGACGCTTCTAACTCCTGGCTTTGAATCCGTGCAGCTCCAGCTGTTGCAGCCATCTGGGGACTGAACCAGCAGATGGAAGACCTCTCATTCTCACTCTGCCTGCTTCTCTATAACTCTGCCCTTCAAATAAATAAATAAATCCTTTTTAGAAAATAAATTTTAAAAAGCTTGAAAATATGTCCTTATAAAAATTAAAGAATAAGAAAGGGAGGAGAAAGAAGGGTGGAGCCTGGGCAAGAGGGAGGGGAGGGTAGGAAGTATAACTATGCTCCTAAATCTGTATATATGAAATACATAAAATTTGTTCACCTTATATACATAAAACTCCCTAAGTCCTGGGAGTATATTTGGGCCGACTCTCCATCCACAGTAGAATTAAAATCCTGTGTTTTCCTTGATGGTCGCTCATCCCCTGAGCATGCTGATTGAATTCAGTTGCTGCCCTCCTTCTCTGCAGAGGTCGTCTTTACTGGAGAATCCCATCCTCCCATATCCTGTGCACCGTGTGAATTCTTAGTCTTGATGGAAATTTTCAGGATGACAAGGATGCTGAGAATGCGGAGTGAATTCAAATTTATTTCCAACTCCTTAATGTTTCTTTTCTTCAAAAGCCAGTGGGGCACAGTGTAGCCTGCAGAGCCAGCACACAAGGCTCAATTCTGTGGATGCTCTGATATCCTCACAGCCCTTAAATAAGAACAAATTCTTGTCTCCAGTAACTTTTTTTTTTCTACTCAGAATTGATGGATCTGTAAAAAGTCTCTTCAGAATAGATTACTGAATGTTCAAATTAAACACTAAAGCCTTTTCTGTAGCCCTTTAATTTTTAAAAACTACTACCTTTGTTTTGACCAAGAACTCCCTCTGTTTGACTAGACCTGCTCCTTTGGGGAATACAAGGAATTTTTAAAAAGCACATGTGAATCTCAGTCGATCAGGAAAGCGTATAGAAGAAAAATATGAAGGCTTCAGTATCCTGAATTCCTACCCAGGTGCTCTAAGACTTGGAATTTACTTCCTCTTTCTCATGTCCTCCTTTAAAGTAGGCATGTTCCCAGGATACTGAATCAAGTGTTCCTAGTCCACATCCCTCACTGTCTCAAATCTCCCCCTCAAATGGAATTGCGCACTCCACCAAACCCTGCTTCCTTAATCTCGTTTCTGATAATGCAGTTGTCTTGCATCAGAGTTGCTTCTACCCCCACCTACAAGCTGATGTCTGAAATAGGGAATTACAGGAGAGGAGGACTGCAGAAGACTCTTCACTTGTCCAGCCACTGACTGACACTTGAGTCTTCTGTAAAGTGGAGGAATGTGCTGAACAGACGAGAGACTGGTTATCTTAGCAGGCAGACAACTCATGGTTTGGGATTGTGATGCTTTTCTCAGTCTTCCTGTTGTTTCCACTTATTGGTCCTTATTCTAATTCTTGGAACCATTCAGGGCAAGTTTAATTCCTCTTCCCTGTGACACGGTTTTAAATATGTAATGACAAAAATGCTGTGTTTCACTAATATTGTTCTTAAAGCTTAATCATTCCTTTTTGTTCCTCATGTAGCCTCACCCTCTCCCATAGAGGTTGCTCCTATCTCAAGCTTCCAGCTTAAAATATATATATATATATATTTCCTTTATTTCTTTGAAAGAGTTACACACACAGACAGGAAGAGAAAGAGAATGCTTCCATCCACTATTTCACTCCTCAAATGGCTACAATAACCAGAGCTGGACCAGGTGGAAGCCAGGAGCCAGGGACTCCATCCAGGTCTCCTATGTATGTGGCAGGGGCCCCAGTACTTGGACTATCATCTGCAGCATTCCCAGGTGCATTAGCCGAGAGCTGGATCATAAATGGAGCTGCCAGGATTCAAAAAGGGGCTCATATGGGATGCCAGCACTGCAGGTGGTAGCTGAAGTTGCTGCACCATACTCCTGGCTCCCAGCTTCCAACTTCCTATATAGATCCTAGATACACAGAACAAAATCAGTGTTTCGGGTGTGTTACGACACCCTTTCTCTTTAGACTAATGTACCTCTATTGGTACAGCCTAAAGCAAAATTAGTTTCTGGAAGCTATATTCCATTTTGATTAAAATATGATTAAACCATAAGCCTTTTATTTTCACATGCATCGAGTTGCATCTCCTTTAGAGATTGCATCATTGACTTTCTATGCCTTCAAATAATTTTATCTCGAAAAATGTCTATTATTAAGCTTTACCTATCTCAACTCCCTGTCACAATTTTTGTGGACCTTGATTTTGGATTCTAGTGTACTTATTGTGCCCATTATGTCATACTAAAATTCTGTTTCTTCTCCTAAACTATTGACAAAATTACAGAGTCAGATAATATACACATTGCTGAATCAGTAATTGGCACCCTGTATGTATGGTTATCAAACTAGGTATGAAGTTGCCCTTTTTTATTATCATCTGCCCTAAATTTATCCAGATCATCTGTGAAGATCCCAGGAGATAGCTTCCCCATTGCTGTGCCAAGGCCCACATTTATTGACACCCACAAAACTCCCTGATATGAGAATTCAGTGGCCTAAGTCAAAAAAGGAAGTGATATTAGTATGGTATCACCTTAGGACTCAGTGATTTTTGGAGTTCAGAAACTATATATATATATATACACACACACACACATACACATACATACATACATACATACATGAGGCTACATGAGGAACAAAAAGGAACGATTAAGCTTTAAGAACAATATTCGTGAAACACAGCATTTTTGTCATTACATATTTAAAACCGTGTCACAGGGAAGAGGAATTAAACTTGCCCTGAATGGTTCCAAGAATTAGAATAAGGACCAATAAGTGAAAACAACAGGAAGACTGAGACATATATACGTGTGTGTGTGTGTGTGTGTGTATATATATATGAAATTGGAGAGATACAGCCAAAGACAGATCTTACATCCATTGTTTCACTCCCCAAATGCCTGCAAAGCCAGGGTTGGGCCAGGCTGCAGCCAGGAATCCAAAAGCTAATCCTGTTCTTCCAAATGGTTGACAGGGATCCAAGTACTTGAGCCAACATCGAATGCTCAAGTACAACATTCAGTGCCTCCCAGGGTGCACATTAGCAGGAAGCTATAATCAGGAGCAGAGATGGAACTCAAACACAAGCACTCCTATATAGGGTATGGGATTCCAAAGAGGCATCTTTAACTGCTTACCCCAGAAACCAAACTTTTCTTTTTATGATTTGTTTTTTTTTTATTTCAAAGTCAGAGTTACAGAGAGAATGGAGGAGAGAGTGAGAGATCTTCCAGCTGCTTGTTCATTCTCCAAATAGCCGCAACAGCCAGGGCTGAGCCATGCCAAAACCGGAATCCAGGAGCTTTATCTGAGTCTCCCATGTGGGTTACAGGGACCTAAACATTTGGGCCAGCATCTTCTGCTTTTTCAAGGCCATTAGCGGGAGGCTGGATGGGAAGTGGAGCAGCCAGGACATGAACTGGCACCCATATGGGATGCCAGCATCATAGGTAGTGGCTTAATCTGTATGCCACAATGCCGGCCCCACAAATCCGTCCTGACAATGTGTCTAAGATGAATGCCAAGCTAACTGTCCCAGGAAAAGGGCACTACTTTTTTTAACCTATAAACCTTTTATTTAAGATAAACAAACTTCATACACTTCATATATATGAATTTTGGAACATGGTGATTCCACCCGCCCTCCCACCTACACTCCCACCCTTCTTCCTCCTCCCTCTTCTATTCCAATTATTTTCTACAAAGATCTATTTTCAGTTAACTTTATACTCATAAGATTAGCCCTACACTAAGTAAAGAGTTCAACAAATGGTATGAAACAAACAAAAATGACTGTTCCTCAAAAAACTGAGACAAGGGCTGTTCAAAATTATTGAGTCTCAAAGTGCCAATTTCACTTCTATGGATTACCTTTTAGGTCTTCTATTAGTTACCACAGATCAGGGAGAACATAAGGTATTTGTCTTTTTTGGACTGGCTTATTTCACTAAGTATAATGGTTTCCAGTTGCATCCATTTTGTTGCAAATGACAGGATTTCCTTTTTTAACTGCTGTGTAATATTCCATAGTGTACATAAACCGTAACTTCTTTAACCAGTCTTCAGTTGATGGACATCTGTGTTGTTTCTATATCTTAACTATTGTGAATAGAGCTGCAATGAATGTGGGGATACAGAAAACTCTTTCATATGCTGATTTCATTTCCTTTGAGGTAAATTCCCAGGAGTGAGGTGGCTGGGTCATATGGTAGGTCTGTATTTCTGAGGTGTCTCCATACTGTCTCCCACAGTGGCTGTACCAGTTTACCTTCCCACCAACAGTGGACTCTTGATGTCTGTAGGAAAGCCATTCTAACAGGGGTGAGGTGAAACCTCATTGAGGTTTTGATTTACATTTCCTCAATGGCTAGTGGTCCTGAGAATTTCTTTCATTTGAATTTCTTCTTTTGAAAAATGCCTGTTCAAGTTTTTTGTCCATTTCTTAACTGGATTGTTTGTTTTGTTGTTGTTAAGTTTCATGAACTCTTTATAGATTCTGGATATTAATCCTTTATCAGTTGCATAGTTTGCAAAAGGGCACTTCTCTCTACACTTGGGATTATAGATTCCATCTGTGCCAGGTGAGGGCCCCAACCACTGCCCAGCAGCGAGCTCTGCCCTGTGATCCTAGACAATGGGCTCCCATGGGGCAGTGGCCAGTGCCCTGCAGTGCTGGGGAAAGCTGGGTAGCTGGTAAGCCTCAGTGAGATATTGTTGGCCAAGTATGTCATAGAAGAGACTATCCAACAATTTTACCACTTCTTCTTGCTTTGGAGATACTTTGAAAAATAAAAAGATTCAAATTCCTGCAGAACAATACCATATATCAAATCATTCTAGATAAGCCAGAGCTACCTCTTTTTATAGAAAACCAAAGAGATTGCTCAGTTTAAGCCATTAGCATCATTATTAACATTAAATTTTTTCTTTGTGTTATTATCATCATCAAACCCATCTGCCAGTACAGTGCTAGAACACAGTCAGCTCCCTAGGCAGCAGAGATGTAACAGATCTGTAGCCACTGGCCTACTCTAGTTGCCTTTGAGGGGAAAACTCCAGTGGTGTGGAGAGGAGAGGAACAGCAATGGTGGAGCCAGCACTTTGCTGAAGTTTGAGTGCTCCCCCAGTGCATCAGAGCAGACTGGCAACACCAAATTCAGAGTCACATTGCAGAATAGTCGTGAAGACAAGGAAGCAAGCAGCAGAGACGTCCTTGTACCTTGAGCAGCTGTGAATCTATGGTGGGAAATGGAATTTTATGATGTGAGCGTATCCTAGCAGTCATCCTGCTCCCTGGGCTCACATCTCTATATGCCTGCATTCTTCTGTAGGAGTACATGTGAGGGATGATAGAATATTGAAACAAGGGAGCACCACAAAGAAGGGAAAACTGGACAGACTCTAGATACTTCTGGAGGAAGAAATGTCATGACTTGTGGATGTGGGAGAATGGGAGGAAATACAAAGGTAAATGTGGTGACTGACAGAGTTCAGGCTTCGGCGCTGAGAGGATGTTTTTACTAAACTGAGGTCAAGATTAGGTGGCTAAGAAGGCTGAAGACAGGGAAGGAAAATCAACTCCATTTTTAAAATATTAATATTGAGATGCCTATTAGAAAACTAAGTAGGAATCTAGAGAAGGAATCTGGGTATCTGAGACTGACACCGGGAAGAGGCTGGGGTGCAGATATAAATACTGGAGTCATCCCTAAATAAGGGGTGCAGTAAACCAAGGAGCTGGATAAGATCAGATTAGAAAGTGATATTTTTTGTTGGCCATAGAAAACTTTACACAAAGGCGATGTTATTATCTTGTCCATTCCTAGCTGAATACGTCATTGGTGAAAGAAAACAATTTCTAAAGTGGGGTTGGTCCTATGGAATTAGCCCTAAAATGACTTGCGGGAGAAATAAGAGGAAAGAAGTAGACTGGTCCTACACCCCACTCCCACGAACCTGTGGGGACTGTGGGGCTCACTCATACCCTAGCACCAGCTCAGAGAGTGTCATCCCTCAGGCATTCTTCCAATGAAATTAATCATGTTAATATCTATAAATAAAGTGCAACCAACAGTTACTTTAACAGTGCATGTTAATTATTGGTAGGATCCGTGACTGAAGAAGGGTTTTGCCAGTTTTGTCATGTCTGGGGAAAGTATCAAGAATACACATGGAGTTTTGAGAAAATAGGATGATCAGATCATGAACAGCTTCCAGGTGAACCAGGTTTGGACCATCCGTGTGATTATTACAGGTGAGGATTAAGGAAAAAAAGAAATGTTGGAATTAGAATTTCCTCTCCAGGTATCAAATGAATGATTTCTTGCTGCTGTATCTAAGAAGGGCTTTTATTTTTGAAAGAAGCTGTGTCATAACAGGATTTCTCACTGAGACAGTAGTGCTGGGGAACATGGGGGCGGGGGTGGGACTGGGAGACCAGATGTCCCATAGCCTGTGGCTCACCAGACATTAGATCCAAAGGCCTCCAGAAGCCAGTCTACTGTGGGTGCAATATATACCCAAGGACCACCCCTCCTTCATTTGTGCATCACAATTCATTGACACAGGAAATATTTTATTTATTTGAGAAAGGCGGAGGGAGAAAAGCCAGTGTTAGGCTGGGTGAAAGCTGCGAGCTGGAAAGGAACGGCCGAGAGCCAAGAGCCGCCATAAGAATGGCCTTAATAAAACAGTCCTGGGAAATGGGGAGTAAACTAAGTTCACAGAGAAGGCAGATAGCTACTACCCAGAGAGAAGGGCTACTACCCAGAGATAAGGGCAACAGAACATCCTGGTACGCACCTAAGCCCCCTCCCCTGTGCTTGTTCAAGCTTAACAAAGAAACCGCGAGGCACGTAGGGCACGTAGCCACCCCTTTCTGCTCTTCAAGGACCCCCTCCCCATATCCAAGCTTAGACACGTAGGGCACGTAGCCCCCCGTTTCTCCTCCTCCTCGACGACCTCCTCCCCTTGTAGTTGCCCAATAAACTTACGCCACCCTATAGTATGTTAATTTTGTGGTTTTGCCCTTTAAAAACTGTGTAAAATGATTGTTCGGGGCTCCTCTCTCTTGCTCACTGCTTGCGGCAGCAAGTAGAGGGCCCATTTGCGCAAATGAAATAAAATTGCCTCCTGCCTTTTGCATCGTCTGGTCTGGAGTCTGTGTTTCTGGGGTCGTCACAAAAGGACACCGCTTTTGGGGTCCTTCAGTAGCAGGGACCCAGGTACTTGAACCGTCACCTGCTGCTTCCCAGGGTGTGTATTAGCAGAAATCAGGAATTAGGAGTGCAGCCAGGGCTCAAATCCAGGCACTCCAATATGGGATGTGGGCATCACATCATCACATCCCAAGTGGCATCTCAACCACTAGGCCAAATGCCTGACCCAATGCAAGCTCTGTTGACAGAGAGTAGGTAAGTGGGTCTTCCCCGTGAGGAGTGCACAGAAGAAAAGTTCCCTCCACCTCTGTAGAGTTCCTGGCTAAGTCTAAAACAAAAATTGACAAAGGTAGATTAACAGGGAAAAAAAATACACATTTATTTAATGAACATTTCATGTGGCATCGGGGCCTTCAGAAATGAAGACCCAAAGAGTCAGAGGACAATATTTTTATGCTTAGGTTCAATAAAGAATGGATAGCCATGTAGAAATGCGACAGGACAAAAGAGAATGGTCTCATGACAGCAGACTGAATAGAGAAACTCAGCGAGGCCTGTCTGTGCTTCCTCTTTTTGATCTCTCTGTGTGACATTCCTTTCTCTTGGGTATGTGGCAGCACCCCTCTGGAATGAGGGTGCTGTGACCCACGATCGGTTACAGTAGGTCAGAGAATTTCTCTGTGACTTGCTCGTACAAGGAAAGGTAGGGGAAAATGAAAGTCATATTTCTAGATCTTATGGCTGGTTTGGGGGCAGAGGAGTTCTAGTTTCTATGATGCACCTTGGCAAAAAGCAGTTCTAGTTTCTATGGCCCGCCTTGGGGGAGGAGAGGGAAGCAAGGGAAACCTGAGCAGGAGAAAGTCAGGAGACTTTTCTTCGGAGGCCCTTCCAGGGCCCTTCATTTCAAAGCACTCCACACGCCACCATGCCGCCCTCCAGCCGTGGTCTCCTGAGCCCCAGCACTGACGAGAGAGAAAGCAGATAGTCCAGTGCAATAGTGATCATAGCTCCCTCTGTTCAGTGTGTACTGTACAGATGTGCTTTCTTTTTTAATCTTTTCCTTTTTATCAACCATGTCCTGTACATACTAAAACCATTTTCCAAATGAAGAAATGAGAACGAAGAATTGAGAAACTGAGAACTTAGGTAGCTTATCTAAGGTTGGGGAGTGGCTAGATGAGACACCAACTTGAACTCTGCTTCATTCATTTGCACTCTGTGTATAGGCTTCATGTGCTTTTAAATACAAATGAGATCATCTTTATGTTTCTGTTCATAACCTCATTTCCCATTCTTAAAAAGTACTTTTAACTACTTTACCTGTTTCTTTTAAGGTATGCCTCCAGAACTTCTTGCTCCTCTCTAACTGTAACTTAGTACACTTTAATCAACCTGTTGCACAGTAGGGTAACTATAGGTAATATTAATATATTATATATAGACATATATATTTTTCTCTATTAACAAAAACTAGAAGATAACATTTTTAATGTTTTCAACATAAAGGAACGTGAAACATTTGAAGAGATAAATCTATTTACTCTGATTGGCCATTACATAATAAATTTAATAAATTCATTTATCAAAATGCAAGTATTATATATGGGGCTGGCATTATTATGCTGCAGGAAATGCCACCATTCCATATGCACACCAATTTTGTCCTAGCTGCTCCACTTCCAATCCAGGTTCCTGCTGATGACCTGGGGAAAGGAGCAGAAGATGGCCTAAGTGTTTTGCCACTGCCACCCATGTGAGAAGCCTGGAAGAAGCTCCTGGTTCCTGGCTTTGGCCTGGCCCAGCCCCAGCCTTTGCAGCCATCTAGGAAGTAAACTAGCAGTAGGAAGACCTCTCTTTGTGTGTTTTTCTCTCTCTCTCTGTAACTCTAATTTTCAAACAAATATATAAATTTTTAAAAAAAAATCACCTACCCTGAAATATGTATAATTTTAAGTCAAATTTAACAAGATTTTTAGAAACAAAGTAAAATATGCATTAATGTGTAAAATAAAAATGCTTGGTTTGAATTTATTATAATTTTTAGATTTCTATTTAATTTTATTGTGGAAGATAAGGATTTAGCTCCAAAATTCCCTAAATGCACACCCATATACACCATATACACTATACTTTCCTCTCCCATTTCTCAAAATAGTTATGCATTTGTGGAGATAATTATTCATGCTAATATCATTGTTCATTTATAGCTGAACTATGTTATTCTCTGTGATTGCATTCTCTTATTTTTCCTCCTAGGAGTTCGTAATTTGTATCTCCGATCTGGATCTTTCCCCTAAAAGATAACTTACATAACTAGATGGCTACTCAACAACCCTATTTGGATGTCTAATACACATCTCACATTTAACATTTGCAAAACTGAATTGTTCTCTCATATAGCCCAATTCCTTCTCTTATATATTGAGAAATGTACATTAATGGCAATTCCTTTCTACTTGACCTGTGGGAAATTTAGAAATTTTTTAGTTTCTAAATATTTGGGTATTTTCCAGATGTCTATGATTAAATTCTGGTTTAATTTTGTTCTCATCAAAGAACATACTTTGTTTTGATTTCTGTGCTCATGAATTTAATGAGATTCTTTATGCCCAGAATATGACTTATTTTGGTGAGTGTTCAGTATAAAAATGTGCATTTTGCAGTCATAAGATGGAGTATTGATGGGTGGAGTAAATATCAGTGAGTTGATTCATTATGTTAATCTTTTCAGCTTGCCTCTTTATTACTGGCAAACAGTGTTAAATCTCTCATTCTACTTGTATATTTGCGTATTTCTCTTCTTAATTTCTATATGATTTGTTTGATGTGTTTTGAAAATGCATTATTAGATGTATTTATGATTATTTGCCCCTCTTGGAGATTTGCCCTTTTATCAATGAAATAGCGCCTTCTTCCTGGGAAATATCTTTTTTTTTTAAACACTGTTTAAAGATTCATTTACTTGTGAGGCAGACTGACAGAGAGAGGCAGAGACAGAGAGACAGCGAGCAGTTTTTGTCTGCTGATTGACTCCCCAGTGGCTATAGCAGCTGGCACTGGGCCTGCCTTGGAGCCAGGAGCCAGCAATTCCATCCCTATCTCCCACGTAGGTGGCAGGGGCTCAAGCACGTGGGCCATCTGCTGCTGTTTTCTCAGGCACATTAGGAGGGAGCTGGATCAGAAGCAGAGCAACCAGGGCTTGAATTGGTACTCAGATACAGGATGTTGGCATTGCTAGCAGCGGCTTAACCCACTGCATCACAATGCTACTCCTGCATTTTGAAATATCTTTGATATTAATATAGTCAGTCCACCTTTTTTTTTATGAGTGTTTACATGCCCTAATTTTTTCATCCTTTTTAAATATCTTCATGATATTTTAAGTGGGTTTCTTGTAGACAGTATATAGTTCAGCCTTGCTCTGTTATCTAACCTGACAGTTTCTATCCTTTTAATTAAAGTTATTAGGTATATACATTTAATTATCAATATGAGGATATTTAAATCTATCTTTTCTCTTTGTTCCAAGTGTACTTTTCTTGTTTTTCCTATTTTCTTTTGGATTGAGCAATTTTTATTATTCCATTTTACCTAATAATAGCTTATTAAATATACTTAGTTTGTTGTGTTTTTTTTTTTTTTTTTTTTTGACAGACAGAGTTAGACATTGAGAGAGAGAGACAGAGAGAAAGGTCTTCCTTCCGTTGGTTCACCCCCAAATGGCCGCTATGGCTGGGGCGCTGCGCTGATCCGAAGCCAGGAGCTTCCTCCTGGTCTTCCATGTGGGTGCAGGCGCCCAAGCACTTGGGCCATCCTCCACTGCCTTCCCCAGGCCACAGCAGAGAGCTGGACTGGAAGAGGAGCATCCGGGTCAGAACCTGGTACCCCAACCAGGACTAGAACCTGGGGTACCAGTGCCACAGGTGGAGGATTAGCCAAGTGAGCAATGGTACTGGCCTAAATATACTTAGCTTTTCAGTGTTCAGTCTAGTGTTTAAATATATACCTTTATTTTATCTAATAGTTATTATTTCCTTCCTTCTTCTTGCTTTAGGTTTAATTTGTTGTTATATTTCTGGTTCTTTAGAATAGCACTGAGGTCGTCAGCTTGAGATTTTCTTCTTGTCTAACATAGGCATTGTAGTGCTATAGATGTCCTTGTAACTACTGCTCTAGTTTCACTCCACAGATTTTAATATGTTATGATTTCATTTTACTCTGTTCAAAATGCTTTCTACTTTTCCTTTTGATTTCTTCTTTGACCTATGGAGTATTTAGTTACTTAGTTTCCAAATATTTGGAGATTTTCTAGGTATCTTCTTTTGCTGTTTATTTGAAATTAGTTTTCACTGTTATAAGAAAATACCTTTTGCATGATTTGAATATTCTTGTATCTAAATGGAACTGGTTTATGCCTATCTTGCTCAGTGTTCTGAGTGCATTTACATAGAATATGTATTTCCTGCTGCTTGGCCTACTATTAGATAGGCCAAGTTAATTAGTTTTATCTGAGTATTCAAATCTCTGACTATGGTTAGTTACCTGTGCATCTGATGGGGCACAGTGCAACTTTAACAAACATAGAGTGTAAACTGATCAAACCAGGCAAGCGACATCTCTACCTCCCTACCCTTCCTCTCTGTTTGGAGACTGTCAGCTCTTGATCCAATGCTTTATACAGTATAGGACACAGTATTATGAACTGTAGTCACTCCACCGAGCTATGGAACACTGGAGCCTATGACTTCCACCTCACTGTGGTTTAGTACCCCTTATCCAACTCCTCTGTATCCCACCACCCCTCCCAGCCTCTAGTAATCAATTTTCAACTTTTATGTATTTTTAATTTTCACATACAGAGACGATATGAAGTGTTTGACTCTCTGTGTGTGGCTTATTTCAGTTAATACAATGATTACCAGTTCATTCCATTTCACTGCGAATGTTAGGGTTTCATTCTTTTTTATGACTGAATAACATTGTGTTGTGTATAAATATCACATTTTTTATATATTCAACTATCAATGAATACTAAGATTGATTCGATATTCTTGTGGTCTGTCTGCTTCTTACAGTTCTATCAGTTTTTGCTTCATGTATTCGGAGGGTGTGCTATCAGGAGCATAAACATAGAATTTTTATACTCTTGATGAATTTACCCCTCAATTCTAATGAAATAACTTTCTTTGATTTCATTGTTCTGACCTGTGCTTTGTCTGATATTAATATAGCCACTCCAGATTTCTTTTTCTAGTGTTAGTGTGCATATCTTTTTTATTCTTCTAATATATTTTTATCTTTGCATTGTAGTAAATTTCTTGTGAACAACATATGGTTTGGTGTGCTATTTATTGAATCAGATAATTTGCCTTTATTTGGAGGTTTATATCATTTAAATTTAATCTATCAAAATGGTTTAGTTTAAATATATCATCTTACTACAAGTGTTTACTTTCTATTAGATTTCCCTTTTTGATCTTGTTCTCTTTTTCTTTTTGTTCCTGCATTCTTTGGATTAATTAGGCATTTTAAGTACCAGTTTATCTCCTCTCTTGGCTTACTAGCTATAACTCCTTGTTCTGTTATTTATTTATTTATTTAAATTTATTGCATGCATCTTTACCTTACCAGTGCTAACTTGTAGGGATATTATGTCTCTTGTACTACTTATACTCATGGAACCTTGTGACAGTTTAGTCTTATATCTTTCCAGTGAATAACCCTAATAAAATAAGAATTTCTCTTTCTCAACATCAATTTTGCTGCCCTAGAGGTACTCTCAGTGGTCCTGCTTGGGTTTCTTAGCCTTCCCTGACAACACTGATGGATCCATGAGTTTTTTCAGTCTCAATTCCTGCAGTTGTGTTTTCAGAACCTCATGGAATTGGGAAGGAGTTCACCAAGAGAACACAAAAAGAGGAATGCAGAAGTGCGCTGGTCAGACAAAAAAACTACAGCTGTTGTAGGCCACCGCAGGCAGACAGATCACAGAGTTTACGGACTGGCAGGTAGGGAACTCACACATGCTTGCTGTGAATTCCCAATATGCCTCTCCAACAAGGCTGAACTTGGCCACACAAAGCAGGAGCAAATGAAGCATTTCTTTGTGTGGCATCTTCCTTCCCCTTGTACCCTCCAGGGCCCTCAACCGCCAGTGACACTTCTGCATTTCTGATTCCTGTCAAACTGAAAAAGAAGCCAAATATGCCACCACCTCTTTGTATTTACTTTTATCAGCATCCTAGAAAAATATTTACTAAGAACCTTAGCACTTCTGTGTAAGTCAGATTTCTCAGCTTTGGCACCAGTTGATATTTGGGACCAGATAGTTATTTGTAGTGAACAAGTCCCCTGTGAACTGTAGGTGCTTTGCAGCATCCCTGGGCTCTACCCACTAGATGTCAGTTACACAACCCTCTCCCCATTTGTGACAATCAAAAGTTGATCCAGAGAGTGTCAGATGTCTTCCCAGGGAGCAAAATGGCTCCTGTTTGAGAACCACTGGTTTAAAGGAATGTTGACAGACATCAAGTCAGCATCAGCTGATGAGGAGAAAGCAGAGTTTGCATCGGTACCCAGAACTGTTCCATTATCCCAGAAGTCATCCCCCTCAAGGGATGGTGTTTTTGTTCACTGCAGATTCAGCTACGACAGCCACAGCAAATGTTAGAGGAGTAAGTGAATGAATGAGTAAATGAATAGGTGGATGAATGGATGAATGAAAAGAAAAAGTCTGTACAATTATTCATTGTGTTACTAAGGAGAAAGGAATGATATGGATGGCTATAAAAACAAGAAAAGGGAGTATTTTAACTGTTGGACATAAAGTCTATATTGGAATTTTATGTCATTTTACTTTTATAACTTAGAAAATGTTTTAAAAAGTTATTTTTAAAGTACCAGCAAATCAAACCAAGCATTTTTTCTTTGATAACTATTTGTCCAATTTGCTAATTTCGAAAGTACAAATGTGGACTTTAGCCTTGATTCACATTCTGAATATACCCCCAAGCCCAGGGTTTGATTTTGTTTTATCTCATATGACACACATATTTGTGAGTGGGGTTTATGTTGGGGGAAGTCTGTCTAGTTAGCACTTGAGTACTCTGACAGGTTACATTTAATTACACGCATCAGCCTTGGGGGCCAGCGACTGTTCTACAAGCCTTTTCAAATCTCAGACCTTACAAAGTGTGTGCACCAGGTGGTCCCCAGAAATACTTGTTGAAAGAATTGATCAGGAGGTTCCATAGGTATGATTTGGGTTACTTCTCTAATAACTTTGTCTAACCAAGATTTGCTGAGAGGATGAGGTGAGAGGGGAGAGCAAGGACCAGTGTAAAACTGTCTCGGGGAAGAACAGGAATTGGTGGTCCAGGGAAGAAGGAAGAAGCAAGTGCATGGGCTATGGGCCAGCTGTTACCAGCTTGCTGGTAGTCACCAGCACAAAGCCGGGTCAGATCCTGGCTGTTCACTGACAGCCGCTGCCCATCACAGGGAACCCAGCACCACAGCAATCTAAGACCGGCTGGGTGTGTGGTGATGCCCCCACTGCCGTAGAAGTCTGCCTCCCCGACCCCTGCCCCTCCTCCCAGAGGGAAAGGCACAGCCACCTGGGACATGGGATTCAGGGCCTCAGGAGCCAGAAAAGCCTGGCTTGCAAGATGAAGTCATTTATTTACAGGAGGCAAGCAATGCGCGAAGGCGAAGGCACAGTGCCATCCATCTGCCTTAGTGACCAAACAGAACCCTTCCCCTCACCCTTCCGTGGAAGCAATCAGGCAGAGGGGTTGGCTGAGGTGACCTTCCAGAGCAGAATCTGTGCTTCAAAAATAGAAGCATCCTTGGAGAAGGGAGAGGGGAGGGGAGGGGAGGCTGTGGGTGTGGAGGCAGGAACCTGACTCCCCAGAGCATTATCAGTGTGACACTGTATTAATTAGACCTTGGCACCAGCTCAGTAACCTCAGGTATCTCTCAGAAATTGAAACTAAATCAACGGCTTTGCTTTTTCTTCTTCTTTTTTTTTTTTTTTTTTTTCCCTCTCCTTTCTGGTAACACTCTCCCTGGCTAAGGGAGAAAAAGAGAGTTGTGTCTTCTGACCTATTTGAATGGCTGCACAGTGCCTGGGGAGATGCCTTCTCCAGCAGAGGGCAATGCGGGCTCCTTAGGGGCTCCTAGGAGGACTGAGCTGCAGCAAGCGGGGCTCTGGGGGCAGGCAGCAGGGGTGCCTGGGTCTGCGCCTCTGCTCTCCTCTGCCTGTATGCAAGCTGTGTGCAACCGAGTGGGCGCCTGGGTGTGTCCAGTGCTGCAGGTGTGTGGGGTCCTGGGCTGCATTCTGAAGATCTTGCAGTGCCCCATCAGGAGCCATGGGAGGACCAGATGTTTCTGGGGTCTGGGGGAACTGGGTGCTGGTCTATACAGGTTGTGTGTGACCAGCTTGTGTGTAGTGCTCTGCAGTGCTGGGATCGTGGGCTCTGGGGTAGGCAGGGGTTGTTGGAAATGCTGTGGCCAACTTGAGGGGAGGGCACAGGAAGGTGCCTGAGGCAGTGTGGGTACCTGCTTGGAACATGGCACCATGCCCGTGGGACTGCAAGCAAAGTGTCAGAGCTGTGCCCGCCGCTCTGCACCTCACCACCAGGGTCCTTCTGAGCGGCAGCTTTGTCCTGGGGGCCCTTCTGTGGCCTGAGGTAGAACATGAGTGGAGCCACACCCGAGGCTGTCCAGGCTGTGGAGGTGGCTCCTCTGGGCCTGTGTTCCGGACTCCAGGGACCTGTGAGGCTGGGCTAGGCTGCCTGTGACTGCTGGCAGAGGCTCTGGAGCCCTCGGAGTTTTTTGATCTGAAGATGGGCTCTGCCTCCTTAGGAAGACGGGGTTATTCCTCTCCATGTAACTGCTATGAGGAAGAGACCCAGGAGTGCTTGTGCGGAGCAAAACGAGCGTCGTGGCCTTTCCCTTGTGCTGCCCTGCAGCCGAGCCCGCCGCCTGCTGGGCTGCACTTTCTAATACTTTAGGTCTGTGCTCTCTCAACAGGACAATGTGGATCTTGGAGAGTTGATGTTCTCCCTCTGCTATCTTCCCACGGCCGGCAGGCTGACCACCACCATTATAAAAGCACGGAATTTAAAGGCAATGGACATAACAGGAGCATCAGGTAGGACACCTCTCAAATCCAGTCTTCCTCATTCCAGTTCTAATGTGGTACCTGAACAAGTTGTCTAGTACAGTAATTAGCTCTGGAACCAAACGTTTGGGTTTAATCCCAGCCCACCACTAATACTGTGTGACTTTGGGAAAGTCACTTAACTTCTCTGGGCTCCAGATTCCATCTGTAAAATGAAGGTATAATAATATCTGACTTATTGGGTTGTTGTAAGAGTAAGTGCACTAGCATATATAAAACCTCAAGAACATGACCTGATACGTTTTAAACACTACAACTATTAGATTTTATCATTCTCCCTTGGGTCTTCATAACTGAATGGACCTAATAGTTTGCACCAGCTGACATAACTGATCTAATTGGATCTTTCTTCAGAAATCACCATCCCAGGGTTATTGAAGATTGAAAACAACCCTGTCTCCTAATACAGTTTGGTTTTTCCAGGGAATTAAGCATGCACACTCAAATTCCAACTGAAGCCTAAAAATGCCTCAATATGCAGTTTCTATTATACAGATTCACAAACTGCCTCTGCAGGGGCTCTCCAAATGTGGCCACAAAATACCCAGGACACACTGACTCACAGCCACTGAAATCAAGCAGCATCAGATACAATATATTCTGCATCCTGTACCCCCGTGTTTTCTAAGCAGAAAAAAAAAATAAAAACAGCAACAATATGCTCTTCCCCCACTCCACCCCCCCCCATCCCTCCCATCCCTGGCCTTCTGAGTCCCTTCTTGACTGTGCATAGCAGTCAGGGCATGCACGGTCATGGAAGTGAAGAGAGACACATGGAGAGGAGGCTGGTGAGGTGCTGGTGGGCCCAGAGAGCCCCATCTGCCGTCACCGCAGCGTCACCCCTCCGGCAATTCTGTGTCCTTCCTCTCCTGACATACGGAACCGCCTCTCTCTTTGCAACCCTAACCTGCCGACTATTCCAAGGGCTGCAGGTCCCTGTACTCAGGAAATCGACCCCAGACATGTTCCCCAGGAATTCAGAAATTCCAGAAAGGCAGGTCAAATTCCAGAATTCCAGAAAGGGTCTTTACTCAAAGACCCGAATCTTTTGGAAGGTGCTCGAAGGTGACTCGGAGCTGAGGGGGCTTGGGGACCTGTTTCGCATTGCCCTGGAAGCACCTGGGCAGCTCTCCTCCTATCACAGTCGGGCGGGTCTTGAATGCTACTGGAATGTCGGCTCATTGGGAACAGATGTTTTCTCACTATTTTTAAACTTCATGCATTTGAGGAGACAGTGTCCTGGGCTTTTTCTTGAGTGAATGACTTAATTATCACAACTCTAGTCACTGCCTGGCTATCATCTTAATTAAAAATCCTTGGATTCCAGTCCACAGGCAGGGAGAGGTGTTCTGCATCCCCCAGCCCATGAACGCCCACAGTGACATCACTGCAGCCTGGATCCCCATTTATCCTCACAGTCCCCCGCTTCTTGTGGTCTGCACAGATCCCTACGTGAAGGTCTCACTGATGTGTGACGGCAGACGGTTGAAGAAGAGGAAAACATCGACGAAAAGGAACACACTGAATCCAGTTTACAACGAAGCCATAGTCTTTGATGTCCCTCCTGAAAACATTGACCAAATCCACTTGTCCATAGCGGTCATGGACTACGACCGGTGAGATACCTGGAATCTCTTTCTCAGTGCAAGGCCATGTTCCCCGGGCAGGGGGCCAGTGGGCGCAGCCGTAGTTGTTGGCTGGTGTCCCAGGCTGCCCACAGGCAGTGAGTGAACCAGCAATGCATGGACAGCAGATGGACAAGGAGTCACCGTATTTCCAAACAGGCCATAAAGCCAGACTCCTGGCTGCCTCAGAGCTCTCTCATTCTCCCTCCCCCTTTGTTTCTTTCCCTCCTGTGTCTCATTCCCACCTCTTACCTCTCTGAATAGCTTCTGGAATCTTGGCTTAAAGAATGGTGGCCCCACAGGTCTTATCTGCTGTCAGGCAGCACTGAGTGCCTTCAGGGGAAAGATCCCACTCCACGTAGCAGAATGATTACTTTAGCCAGACCATCAGCTTTCCTAATACATAACTTCAATTTTGTGTTCCTTCTCACAACATATTTAAAAAGATCTTTCCATCCACTTAAGTCTGAAAGCAAACACATGAAATGGTCTCTTGAAAATGCTAGAGCCGGTTGTGGGTGACAGCATACATTAAATGTGTAAGATGCTCGACTTTTAATTAATACAGCACTGAAGGGATATTTATAGCCTGCATTGTAGCCAATTGTGTGTTTAAAGGACGATAGAAAAACAGTTATTTTAATATGCAAAGGAAGTACCAACAGGGAATTATACATGTTAAACCAGTCATTAGACTGAAATGCAAAGCCTCTTTTAATTGGAACCTCCCACGTGGTCTGGGCATGATGATAAAAAAATCATTGTGATCTTAATATAATCTTA